GAGGGGGGGCGGGCGGCAGGAGGAGGCAGAGGGCGGCGGAGGAGGAGCCCCCCAGCAGCAAGCTGCGAGCGACTGACCGCGGCCTTCTGACCAGGACCGGAGCAGGGCCCCAAGCCCCCGGGCCTGGCGGGGGACGCGCTTCTCCTCACACCGGGTGCCTCAGCAGCTCCAGCCAGCGGACCTGGCAGCCGAGAGGTGAGTGTACCCCACTTTTGTCTCACGGCTTAGGGTCCCCCAGAGTCGAGACTACTGCAGTGTCCTTCGTCCGTCCTGTGAGAGGGACCCTACACACACACACACACACACACGCATACGCACGCAGACCAGACCAGATTCCCACCACTCTCCTTCCTCGTGCCTTCCCAGCACCCCGGGTTGTTAGAATTGGTTTTCACTGGGAGAAAGAGTAGAGAAGGAACTACTGCCGCCCTCCAACCCTAGGGAGGGTCCCCAGAAACTTTCTCTGCACTTCTCCTGGAATCAGACAGACAGGCGGCTCCGGGATGGAGAGGAGGTGAGGCGGCGCTGAGCGCTCCCCCAGTCTCCTTCGTGACTTTTGGGGGAGACCCCCGACCGGACCTAGTTGAGGGAATGGAAACGCTGACCAACTCTAACTAGGACAACTGCCCCCCCTCGCGCCCCCTGGCGCGGTGGGTTGGACCTGGGCCAGTTGTATGGGGGGTGGAGGGGAGACAGGAGGAGCCGCGGCTTGGGGGAAAGTTACCGGCTGGACTATTCGGTTTCTTGCGCTTCCCGAGCCGCACTCTCTCTCAAGCAGTAGGGGATCTCAGCGACAACCTCCTTGCGCCAGAGAGCGACCTCCTCTCTCTACCACCCCTCAATCCCATTCCATTCAGGGTCCAGACCCACCGCCACCTTTGCAGAGCCATCTCTTGCCCCCAGAACTCGAGAGCAGGGATGGGTGACTGGGGAGAATTCTCCTTCCTAGCCTCACCACCTCCCTTGCACCCGCGGCCGACGACGCACCTGCCCCTAACCGGGGTGGGGGTCGCTACTGTGTTGTTGTAGGACCTACACTGAGCGCCGCTTGCAGAGGGCTGCCATTCAAAGGGGTGGGGGGCGCTGCTTTAAATTCCCAGTTTTCTCTCCCTCCTCCCACCCCACCCCAAGTAAGAGAGCGACGTGTCCCGGCCAGAGCTGGGGGGGGGCCGGGACTGGGGGGACGGCGTGGGCAGCGGGTTGTGCCCGGACACGTGCCTGCCCAGGCGCCCCGGCCCTGCTGGTGTTTAGAGAGAGGGCGGGTCCCCTGCCCCCCGCCCCGCACAACCCCCACGTATCAAAGGGCAGCTGAAACGTGGTGAGACCTCGGGGCGCCCTGGGGGGCAGGGGGGGCTGGGAGCCTGGGTCTGGAGTAGGGGAGGGGCAGAGGCGCCGGTGCTAGCTGACCCACAGGAAACGAGCGCTGCTGACCTAGTTTGGGACACCGGAAGTGGGTGCTAGGGAGAGGGGGAGACCGACAGGCTGTCCTGGCTTCCGGGCCAGGTGGAGGGTGTTCTTGAATTGACCCCCACCCTAATGCCTTGGAGACCCCTAGCTGCAACTGAGAAATGGAATGAGTCAGTGTAGCTATTCCCCCTTCCTCCAATTTATTCTTGGAGGTGGGAGGTGGTTTATCAGGGGCTAGGGGAGCCAGATTGGACAGTGAGGGGTTAAACCAGGATAGGAACCACTGGTCCCTGGGGGAGTGTGTGTACGGGGCGGGGAGGGGGGGTGACGTCTGGAGGATTATGGGATTGTCTCCTGCTCTCCCCACACCAACTGTTTTGGTCACCCCTGTTACCTGCCCGGCACTATGGGGGAGCTGGCATGGAGGTGGACATTGGATTGGGAGGAAGGAGTGGGCATAAGGAGGGCTGGGCTGAGCTGTAAAGGGATGTGTTTGTGGCTGGGCTTAGTGTTCCTCCTTAGTGGTGACTGGGGAGAAGGGCAGGGGGCTCCCCCTGGAGCAGCTGATGAAACAAGGAGAAATCTCTGTCAGTGCCTCCTGTCCCTGACCCCCGGGACCCCAGCTCCCCCAGCGTGCCTCTGTTACATGGTTGCTGTGGGCACCGATGCAGCCTCCTGGCACCCCCAGACACTGTCCCCTCCCTCGAGTACCACACCCCCCAGCAGCAGGGGTCAGAAAAGGGTTAATACCATCAGAAAGGGGCTCTGGGGAAGAAAGAAGGCAATGCCCACTAGGCTCAGGTGTCAAGGAGAGAGGCCTTGCTCTAATGGGGCATTCTCATCACCACTCAGCCCTGGCTCATATGGACCCCAGTGTCTGTGAGACAGGTGCTGTCCTCTTCTCCCTTACCCGTGGTGCCCCCTGGCACCCAGGGCCCCCAGCTCCTCCTTGGCCTACTGCCCGCCCTGGGAAGGCGCTGCGGGCAGCGGGGGCTGGGCTAACAATGCACCATCAGGCCCTTTGTGTGCTTGCACTTGGCACCCTAGGGAAGGGTGGGGGAGGGCCCCCCAGCGGGCATGGGGGGTGGAGCGCCTCTGGGGTGGGGACAGTAAGGGCTAGGGGAGAGAAGCAGAGAATGAAAGCAGGTGGGGAGGAAAGGGAAGTAGGTCAGATAGGGTGCCGGTCCCCTATTCCAAGCCAAGATTGAAAGAAGCAGACCCTGATCCTATGGCTGCCTGAATGGCATCACGCTGGTGCCTGAGGCACAGCCTGGGACTGGGTATTTGGGGTCAGAAGTCACTGCCCAGGGGACTGCTCAGATGGAGGAGGCCTGGCTTGGTACTGCCCCCTTCTTGGTGGCTGAGAGGCCCAGTTCTCCTGGCCCAAGGCCGAGGCCCCAAGATGGGTAGTGAATGGGCTTCAGGCAGGGCACTGCCCTCTGATAGAAGCCTCTGGGCCTGCTTCAGGGCTTCCTGCCTCCCGCCTGCTTGGCTCCCTGACCTTCCTGAGATTTAAGACTGCCCTGCCACCAGGCCTTGGGGCCTAGGCCTGTTTTGGCCTACAGCTGAAGAGAAGGGTGGGGGAGGAAGGTGGGGACAGTCATACGGATAGGACCCTGGCATGGGGTGTGCCCGCCCTGGCCTCTTCCCCCTCCTCCTGCTGAGTAAACTCGTGAGTAAACTTGACGTTTTGCCCGGACAGTTTGAAGTTGCCTCGCCGCCCCCCCTAGTCCTGCCAACATGCAGGCGGCCAGGCGCCAAGGCGGGCCTGGGGGACTAGGGGGAAGGGGATAGGGAAGGGACTGCCATCCACCATCAAGGGCTTCAGAAGGGGCAAGCAAGACCCTCACCCAGGCAGGCCCAAGTCTTGGCAGAAGTCTTGGCTGGGGCCTGTGAGTATATGTCCCAGAGGCTTGGGGAGTCCAGGAAAAGTGGCCTCAAAGCAGGCCTCTGCCTATCTCTGACCTTCTTGCCGCCTCCACCCTGAGTTGCCACCTTTAAGGTTCAAGAAAATGGCACAAAGGCAATTTATCTTTAGCAAATTCCCCAGGGAAGCCAGAGAGGGTTGCCTTCTCTGTTCTGTCCCATAGCCTGGGGTAGGTGAGAGGCTGGTGGTCTCGGCATCTCAGCCCACTTTTCTTTGAGGCTTCCAGCTGCCGTGGCCTCTGCCCTAGAGGACAGTATTCTTGTTTGCAGCACTCTTCCTTGACCCCACACCTGGGCCTAACCCCACACATACTACCACCATACTCATCATCAGGCCTGGCCCTGACTTCCGTAACACCTTCCTCTGCCTGCTGTCATCTCCAGAACTGGGTTAGCCTTCAAAGGTTCCCAGCCAGCAAATACCTGTGCCAGATCAAGGAGTGAGGACTAGTGGCAGGGATATGGAACCAGTAGCTCCCACAAACACACCAGTTTGCTACCACCTGACGTCACTAATTCCTCTTAAACCTCCCCTAGCCACCAAAATGGGGGGGCCTTCCCAGACCTCGGAGTGGGGCTCCCCCAGGCCCTTGCTTTCGACCTCATGTCTCTGGCTTCAGTTTCCTTCCTGTTTCCACCGCCCCCCCTCACACTCCTCCCCACCCATATGCCCCTTTCAACAGACATCCTCTTCTTCCTTCCTCCTTTCCTCCTCCTTTGCCTGGGAACAGGGGTCCTCTCCCCCTACCGTGGGTCACCTAGCCTTTTCCCTCTTCTTAACAGTTTCTTTCATATACAAGTCTACTACCCTTCCTACCTCTTCAGCAAGACTCTAGGGGAGAGGAGCACAAGACTTCTCGAGGGAACTACAACTCCCAAGGTACATGTGAAGCAGTTGTGGTGCACACTGGGAGTTGTAGTCCACCTTGAGCTCTCAATTTGGCTGGATCTGGAAATGTTTCTGGACGAGTGTGAAAGCCAGCACTGAGATGGGTTGGAACATAGATACTCTTTGCATCCCTCCACTTTGCTCTTGCCTTCCCATCTCCATGATACCATGTACCTATGATTGACATCCGTCTCCACTGCTAAGACATGCTCCCCATTCTTACCTTAGTGCCCTACCCAAGAGATGCCTACACCCTGCTCTGCTGTCTCTGGCAGAGGTGAAATGGAGGGGCTCATGAACACCATTCCTGCCCCCTGCCCTCTAGGCTGGTTACCTCCCTTTATGGGGATCAAAGGGCAGAGAGCAGCCCCACCCCACTCCCTCATAGACTGTGGGCACTAGGGCTCTCAGGAATTGCAGGGACTTTGGTGCCCAAGCAAATGCTTGGGCAGAGAGAATGCCCAGAGGCTGGCGCCTGGTGGCTGGGAGAGACATTGACCCCCACCCTGAGGAGTAAAGCCTCCACTCCTATAACTGCTCATCGGGCTGCCCATAGCCTCCTGGGCTCTCTTTGTAGGCCCTGACCAGTGTACTGCTCCTGGAGGAGATGGCTTGAGAACAGGGTCTTCAGCTTTATCTGTAGGGCCTAGGGACCTGGGCCCGCCTGGCTGGCACCAAGGCACATGGGTGACCCTCCCCCACCTCAGCCCCACAGTTGGCATGGGACTTTGGGAGCAGGGGGGTAGGAGGCAGAGGAGGGCAGGACTGCCAGCATCCTGGTGGGTAGGTGCCAACCGGGCCGGGAGCTGGTGAGGGGCAGCAGGCCAGCGGCATTGAGCCAGCAGCTGTTGGGGGAAAAGGAGAGGGGGTAATTTAGGGGGCATTTCTGAGATCCCCCCTAGCCTAGCAGGACTTGGGATGACCTACTGTCTGGTAGACATTAGGGTCCCCCTTGTTCAAGGACTCAGAGACC